AACCTTTTTGTAGCAAGTTTAAAAGCTATATTTATGCCTTTTGTGTTTTTATGCTAGTGAGAATGTCCATACATGTATATTCATGAGCTAAACTGATTTAGCACCAAAAAACAAAACAAAACAAAACAAAAACTGCAGGAATTTGGACAGTTTGTAAATGGGTACAATGTACAAGTACTTGGCAATAAGCCAACAAGTACATCCTTAATGAATTGTTTCAGTGAACAAAGTTTGGGTTCGCAGTTTTAACAGAAAAGCATAGAAACTGAACAGCGCCCTCAGTTGTCCAGAAAAGCTTGGACAACTTGAAATGATTAAAAAAGTGCACTTTTTGCTGGCACACCTTTTGCTCAACAGAAGATGTCAAATAATGTAGCTTGCATGCATTGATGAAGAGTAAAAAGATATACACAAACAATGTGTCGGACCAAACTTTCGTCGCTGATGGAAAGAAAACAACCCTGGCATCATGCCAGATGTGGTACATACATTTACTGTACAGGGTCAATTTAAATAGAAAAGTAAATGTTGAAATGCAGTTGCTTGTGTGAAAGATGTCAAACACTGTACATGTATGTCTTCCTGTTTAGCTCTTGGTGGACTGTTTGGGAGTTAGAACTGCAAGGTACCAAGAGAGATAGCATTTTCCTTGAAAACTGCCAGTGTATTTTGTTAGAGACTATACTACACTTGTGCCTCACGTTGTACATGTGTATTCAGTTCTAAGGCCATCCTAATATTCCGTTACCATGTAAATATGTTTCAACAGATTCTTCCAAGCGTGACTTCTGCATAATACACATTGACAAAAGCCATAAAACGGGTTTCGCAAACAAATATCAGGGTTATTTTTGCTCTGTGGGCCATCAAGTAAACATTACATGTAATAGGCCCACTTCATGTATACATGTACATGTACACGTGTAGTTTACTTAACCATTTTTTTTCATGCTTACAGTGAAACTGTGAAATTGTTGCTGTTAAAAGGACATTGCTAAGCATATGTTGTGGCTCTTTGCTCTCTAAACAACCAAAGTTCAGGCTTATTTAGTTTTCCTCAACCTTGCTTAGTCTACTCTTATGGAATTTTGCTGTAGTCATGCACGAGAATCTCTGAATTTGTGGATGTACGTGTACCATTGACAAACAGCATCTTGACATCTTGGCCTTTGCCTGTGCATTGATGAGCAACAGTCTGGACAAGCCATGACTGAGGGTGATATCCCTACCATACTGCCGTAAGTGTCAAGATTGACTCTGGTTTTTTTTGGGGGGGGGTGAATTTTGTTCATTTCTTTTTCCCTGTTATTGTCAGGCTGTGCATCCAACAGCCAGCTTCGCAAAAACTTTACATTATTGGCTCAACTTGTATGCATTTCACAAAAGTTGTACATGCAAATGCAAGTTACACACTGCTTCAGTCCAGGATTTGTGAACGGGTGAAGACATGGAAAAACCATTGTGGTTTTCTTTGTGGTTATTGTCTAAAAGAATATAGGCATGTTTGTAGGTCACTCGGTCTTATTTCTGACCGTTCCTTACATGTATTTCTGGAGGAAAAAAAAGTTGTTATGCCACTGAACCTGTCTGGAATTGCATAGCAAAAATGTTTTAAAAAAGGAAAAAAGTAATAACAAGAGTTTTTTCAATCCCTGTTTTTTTTCCAGTCTGATAGACTCTCCTCATGGTAAAACAATATGAAAATCTTAGCCCTATGTACATGTGATTAACCAACTTCCCATCTCAAATTAGAGCACCTGCATGCTGACAGATCAAAGTGGACATGTGTACATGTATATATGAATCTACATGCAAGTACATGATGATATGTTTGGCCTTGATCTGCACTAGTCGAGTTGTAAAACCTTTACATTATCTGTATCATTGAAAATTGACTGATCTCTGAAAGAGAGGATTGTTTGCTCATCAGGGGAAAAAGGAGATTGAGAAATCACTTGTTTGCCCCCAGGAAGATTATCATTTCTCTCTGGGTAGGAAATTTCAGAAAGGGCGTGGGGCCTATTTCACAGGTTTTCCCCCCTATTCAAAGCCAAAAACAAGGGTCGGTCAGAAATGAGAACCATACTGTTATTCACCATGGACGCCCAATGTTAATGGGTGGACAGCTGGAATGTTTGGTCCTCATCACTCTACCTAAGCGTGCCATATGGAAAGGAATTTGAGGTCTTGATCATTGAATTATTGAACATATGCTGACAGATCTACTGTACAATACCTGCGTATACATACATGCATACCGAATACGGACCATGCAGATAATGCACCATACGTACCTGTACATGTACATTTACATAGCTGGTCTGGAGCTGTAAAAACAGGTGAAGTTACGTGGCCTGTATATATGTAAGTGCTGTGGTTGCTGGGGTTATGCATGTAGTGCTTTGGTTGCTAGTTTGGTAGGTTGTTTTGTTGACAGGGCATGGCAAGAAAACATAAACAATGCTCTGGGACTAGCTCTTAGCCAGTCGAGGTACAGAATCCTCGGGTGAGGTGTTAGAATAGTTTCAGAAACCCTGCATGCATAGGCCTATAGATACATACATGTATATACAAAATATTGTCATTTCAGGGCCGTGATGAGTCGTAGTCCCAACGACGCCCCATCTTCTTCCAGCTCCATGTACCACGAGGTCAGTCTCAGCGTAGATGACCCTCAGCTCACCCAGTCAGATGCAGAGGTGGTGATTGTCAACAGGCCGCTGATGACCCCAGCCCATGAGGAGCTGTACGCCCAACGCCAGAGGGAGGAGGAGGAGGAAGAGGAAAAGCTGGACCTTATAGATGCAACACAGAGACTCCTTCCCTTGCCTGAATCACATGTACATGTAGCTATTGCTTCTTTAACACCCCTTCCCTCTCCCTGTCTCATTTGAAATCAAAACAAAGAATAAGTAGCCAGTGGTAGCCTTACAGGTGTGTTTGAAGAAGATGCAAGCCTTTCGTTTTAGAGCCTTAGTTAACACTATTGAAGCTAACATACCTTGCCATTTGTCATGAGCTGCTTGTTTCTTCACCGCTTTCTCCTGAAGAATGTGGCTGTTTGCATTTGTGGTTCACTAGAGCCGTTTGGCAAGAGAGTTGTCCGTGGAGAGGCTTGTGCATTCACGGAAAAAAAATTAACATCTACAATCAAATACTGGACATTGTTTCTCTTTTGCAAAAGGGCATGGCACATTGTATAGTTTTGAAGTGGCAGAGTTGAAGTTGGACATTTATATTAGGAGTGAAGTTTGTCAAGGTTTATTACCGTGGCTTCCTGATGCAATTTTACACACACAATGAAAGGAGAGGGTCCAGTTTCACAAAGCTTCTTAGCACAAAATGTACATGTACATGCTTAGCAGTATGTGCATGTACATGCTTAGCAGAAGCTTGTTACCAGCCCAACCACCATGCAAGGTTATGTGCATATTAGCCGAGACGGGTTCTCCGCTCAAATTTGGTTTGCAGAAACATCTGCCAAGCTTTGTTTCCTCTTGAGCAGCTCTGCGATTTTTGGCCTCCATTGCCTTATGGTTAACTACAGGATAACATGTACACATACAGTTTGAATTACAAACTTTAGGATTGGCCTTTTCCAGGGAACCATGTGGTGGTGCACTACTGTTCTGTACAATGCTGCTTTGTTTATTGTTCATAAATACCTCAGACAGTTTACCCATTATTACTGGTTGAGAGTCCTTCATACGGGTGGCTTTTAACAGAGGGTGAAAGTACCAACTGGTTTTAACCACTTTCCTGGTTTTATATGAAATTTGACACCTATTTTATGGACTCTAACCCTCATACTTGACAATCATCGTCACGCAGGCATACACTATACAGCCAGTCATTTCAGATTTCATTAAGTCAGAATTTCACTCCATACAGGCTCATAGCTTCAGTCTGTATGGAAATCAAGCAGCATCAAGCAGGGGATTTTGTACTGCACGTGAGGAACATACTTGAACCATGTTATTATGTGGGCGTTTCACAAAGCTCAATTTAAACTGAAATAAAATCTTTTGGAAAATATGACTTTTGCTGAACCTGTACGCCCCTATTTTAAATTTTTCATTCAAAAAAAGGGATTTATGAATGGGAATAAAAGTGTGATGGGTTGCCTTTAAAGTTGTATTGTATGTTTAGAATTGGCCAGGGGCCTGGCAAGGACAGTGGACCTGGCCTTGGGCTCTCTCTGTCCATGATCTGCCCCCACCAGGACCAAGAGAGGGTGCAATTTTCCTAGCAATGGTGGCTCATCCTTCGGGCAACTGCATCTCACTATTTCATAAGTGTACATTTAGTTTATACAAGACTGCTTCCAATCTTTCACATTGCTCTGTGTATGCATAAATATGAAACTGGGGAAACTGGGCTTGAGGATGGGCCATTTACTTAAGATATTATTTCTTGTGGCAGGAGCCTCAAAACTGAATGAGAAAGAAAGCAAACAAAGACGTGGAGCAAAAAAGTTTCATTGCAGATTTTGGGATACAAAACAACAGAACTAGAAGACTCAAGATCATGTGTCGGTGGGCCAAGTTTCTACCAGAATCGAAACATGTTTGCAACTGCAGCTAACAAGCGAATTATGATGAAATGCATGCGTTGCATGCAGTCGCGTTGCTACAAACAAGATGGCGCTAGACTGAACACTCCCCACCAACATCCCTGTTCAGCTGAGGAATGTTTGTTTCAGCTCAAGACATTTGCCCCAGGCCATGCTCCCGTCCAGTTTTAAATGTACTTCATATTGTTTAAAAACTGCACCATCACACTTCACCCCGTATTTTAATTTGCTGTGCAGCAGACTCTGTGGAACCTTTTTGTGTCCACATTGAAAAGTAATTGTCATTTTGCATTGTCCTGTTGGCAGGGTTTGCAGAAAGTCAAGCGATCAGCCTCCCTGACTGCCTTGAGGGACGGCCAGCAGGGAACCTTGGAGGAAGTGGACAGTGATGAAAGCCAGCCAAGAGAAGGTGTGTCCCAAGGTACATTCAGGTGCCATCAGAATAGACATGTATTTTGGGTCCAAACAATGGAATTATCTTCTCAGTTAGAATGCATTTTCTTTGTGTCTGGTTCCATTTGGCCTTCTTTTCAGCCTTCGATGCATATCACTTTTTCTGACAGTGTCTTATAGGGCCCTTGGATGTTTATTCTGATGAAAAAATCCATATTCATGAGTGACATCGTGATGTCAGCTGAGACAACAGCCTTGTGGGAAGCATTTTTTTATTATGCAATTATGCTACAGGTGTTTCAAACTAAATGCCTTTATGAAAAAACAAGTACAGGTAACAATGCACAACGTGCTGTTGAAATCCACAGTTTTCGCAGAAAATCCAAGAACTAGTGGCATTACTGGCTCAGTACCTTGATTAGCATAACAGTATCAGCCTTCCACAGGGAATAATTAGACATTTACGCGTAGCTACATTTACATGTACATGCGGATGGCATTTTTTCCCAGCTGAAAATACTGACTTCTGAAAAATGACAAGATACATCCACCACAGCCCTTTACAAAGTTGACCCTTGATGGTCATTTGTCCAAACTTTGGGTGACATTTCTCACAGTATCATCTCTTGTTTATTAAAGTTTGTGACAGTGTTGTGGAGTGGTATTTGGCGCAATGCCAGACTGTGGCATGTGCGTGCTTGAGGGCTCCACATGCTCATCAACTCCCACAGACTAGTTTGAGCATAGAGGAAGGACACAGAAGGAGTTTGAACTGGTGAAAATTGCACGATATCAGAATACATGTAGATTTGTTAAAGCCTCAGTGCTATTCAGCAGATGTGCTTCGACACTGAATACAAGGGGAAGGTCACAATTGTGCATATTGATATGCAGTATACATACCATATGATGTTCACAGGTGTGCTTGTAGCATTGTACGTGGATTTTAATGGCATTTTAAAGGATATAGTAGAAATGACATTGATTGTTTTAATTAATGAATTCTCTGTTTGTACAGGATAGAATAATTAACACGTTTTGTCTACAGACTGCTGTTAACAATTTGTCCAAGGACCTTTGCTTACTTGCTTCATCCTACTTAGCGCAGTGTGCCTCATGGTATAAGTGGTGGTATTGTTTTACTGTAGAGGTGTGGATATTTATATATTTGTACACAGAATGCTCAAAAAAACTGAAGGTGGTGCCAGCAGACTGTACAGCTTGCATTTTGTGAGAACAGGTGGATAGCTCAGTAGAGACGTACACGTGTACATGTAAGTGGCATGTAATGTGGGAATGAAGCCAGGCAAACACAACCCACCAGCTCAATTTAGTGCAGCCTCATTGCATTTTATTGGTGGAAGGAATGATTGAAAGAATTTTTGTGGACATGAGCATTGTGCTTTTAAGGATGTCATGTACATGTACATGCACAGTCGACAGCATTGATTTCTGGACACTGTCAAGTGAGATTTTCCTTTCCAGGCCTCTGTGATTTCATTGGATCTGTGTAAACCTGTGCAGTCGGATGCACCCCTTTGGAGCAAGTTGTTGTGAAGTGGCCAAGTACTTCCAAGACTGGTGGAGAAGTTTTGAAATTCTTCATTTTTGAAAGTATTGCTTCTTTATAACTGCAAGCCCATTGAAGGTAGAGGCATCCGTCATAGTGCCTTTGCTGTCTGCATCAAATCTGGAAAGTGAATAGAGAGTGTTGAAGTTTGTGCATACTGGATTAAAATGGCCGACAAGACAGAAACCACCAAGACACCAGGGCCATCCAATTCTACACCGCTGTTGCCAGATTCGCCACAGAGCCCGACCTCCATGGAGTACGCGTATATTGGCAATATTCATGTTCCTCCTGCAGATGGTATGCATTGTAATAGGGGATGGGTGTGTCTAAAAGGCTGTCTGGATAAAGTTGGAAATGACATGTGCCGTATGAACACAGACAAAGTAACGAGGGTCACTTGGGGTTACTGTATCACTTAGAGTCGTTGGTGCTGCTGTGGTTTTGACATTTTGGGGCTGTTTTTGGAATTATGAGATAATTTTCACTTCTTGATTTTAAGATTTTGTTGCCTACCCACTAACATTTAATCAATATACATTGTATTTAATGTCTGATTATATTTGTATGTACATGTGTACCAGTATTTATATATGTACCTGCATATTTTTAATGACATTGATTGTATGAACTTGTACAGTGCTTTTGATCATTTTTTATCAGAAATAGTGCCTTACAAGTGAAAGAAACATTTAATGTTAATGCAGTTTGCAAACTACTGGTGGCAGTTCATCCCCCTGGGTATGGGCCCTTTTCGCGCTACGCTTATGGTGTTACAAATTCATGATTTCCATGAACACAGGAGTTTGTGTATAGATATACGTTCCAATGAATAAAACAGGAAAATGTGGTTTTTATTACTTAATTTTACGATTCTGTTATTTATACCTGCATTGGCTAATCAATTCAGGAAAATCTGCGGGTGTTTAATAAATGGGAGCATAAGTCATTCATTCCAGCGATAGTAATTGTTTGCTGTATGAGTTTGCATCAGGCAATAAAATCTATCAGGGATGCCTGAAGTCCCCTCTGGACTGGGAAAAACCAGAGGATAAGCTCTCTGCTTTCATCTGTTAATAAAGGGGATCAATTTACAGTACAGGTATGTTCCCCAGCCCATCATGTGTGATCAAGAGAAACCAGTCACTGTAGAATTTAAGTGAACTTTTTTGTGAGTTGGGAAATTTGTTTATCGGGGCTTTCCCAGTTTTTCCCTCAAAATGAATGGAAGTGAACAAAACAAACCACTCCTAAGTTATGTTTAGGAAACTGAAAACAAATGTTTCTGGTCCTGTTCCAAAAAAAAAAGTTGATGGGTGCGATTATTGTGCCCCTTATATTAGCGCTGTTAGTCCTCAAATCCTTCACATGCCAGGTAATTGAGGACTTTTATATTTTGTTTTCTTGGGGGTTCCCAGATCAGGGGATACAATGTACCAACTATTTCAAGAGATATCTTGCTGATAGGTCTGGTGGTCACCGTGGTTGTATGACTTAAATGGGAGAAATTCCTCCTGTTTCTGCAATTTTCTAAAATCAGTTGAATTTTTCCTGACCTATTTTGTTGGTTTTTAAGTAGTGTTTCCAATTGTCACAAAACGTTAGAAATAGCTTTTCTTTGCAGATTCGCCGACATGCATTGCAAGAAAGAAAGGTTATTCAGTTATTTGGTATTATTTGAATACTGATGCCCACTTTTCCACAACTTTCCTACAAATCTAGACTGGGCCCACAGATATGCTGTAAACTCCAACAATTCAGTCATAGAGGGCATTGCTGCTTCACTTTGTACACAAAACGTAGGAAAGGGGACCAGTTTAGCCATTACACTGTACATGTGTACCATTTCCTCTATAGTTTTACACTTATTTGTGCCTTGAGTACGTGACCCCACAACCTGTTCTTCAAGTGTATCATCGTGGTGGCTATTTGTAGCAGTGTTGAACCTACAGAGGAATTTAACTGTTTATTGTCAAACAAATCAATGTCCACCTTAATTTCAAAATTGACCAGGAAATTTTGTTCATCCATTTTTGACTGGAAAAGAGAATAGGGTGGGTTTTTTTTTGACATTACAATTGTATTTCAGTCCACCAATAACCCGGGAAACTATGGCTAACTGCCAGAACCAAAGCAAAAGAATAGGTTCAGTGATGCAACAAATACATGTAATAGACACAATTACTAAATACTGATAAACAGATTTATGTTTAAAGAGCCGTATCTTCTCCGAGTGATCCCTGTTCACCACTTCCCAGGTTGTATCGTGTTGTTGGGGCGTGATCCCAGGCTACATGGTGTTTCAGGTTTAATTAATGGCTTCTGGCTATGATAGTGCCCCCCCCCCCGAACAGAGGCATTGACAAGTGGGAAGGGCCACCAACATAGGGTCGGATAGCTCAGTTGGTACAGTACAGCACTGGTAGGGTGTTCTGGAGGCCGCAGGTTCAAATCCTGCTTGAGTCAATTTCTTCATCTTTATAATCAGTACTAATAAACAGTTTAGTAATGGAGAAAAATTGCACAATTTGAGGTACATGCACCGATAGTAACCTGACACCAACAAAGGATGATACAAAACTTTGGCCATCCATACAGACAAAGGCAATATGAAAACAGCCTATTAGGTCATTCAGACGACAGCAAGCACTGTTATTAACGTTCCAAAATGATTTTGGGAGGTTTCGAAACACTGACAGAAATTTGCAACGGAAAGCACTGCTGAAGTGACTACAGTGTAATTCGACCACCAGAATTAGAAGCCATTACTGCGGCGGCACAATGCCCGTGGACAGGTGGTACGCGCATTACACGCCTTTTTGCGCAGGGTGTCGTGATTTGCCAAATGCACTGACGCGTCAAGCTGAAGAATGTGCGTGTGAGTGCGGTGCCACCGCATTATGGCATCCAATCGGATTGGTCTATACACAAAGTCCTGCTTAACTGGGCTCATTGTTGTTAGCATAATTTACTGCTGTTGAGAATCAGCAGAGACATGCATATTCAACAATGTAAATGAACAAGTAGCCAGGCAATTAGTTTTGGGGATATGTGCTGGTATAGGATGCTCTCGAATCTGCCTGAGAAGTCGCGATCTATTGTTATTGATTCTGCAATTGATTTTGTACCAAGAGGTGGGGTAGCTGAAACTTCAATTTGACAAGTTCAATTCAAATATCAGTGGTCCATGTGTAGCTTCTAGTTCATGTTTTGTTGCCATGAGCCTAAAGGTGACCTCAGACAGACCTTAGACATAATGACATCATCATGCTTTGTTTACCTGTGTGCTTTCCTGTGGCAGTGAGGTGGGATGCTATACATTGCATGCATATCCTACAAGTGCACCTGCAGTTTTGTTGTCAAGATCAGACACAAGACCAGTCACAAAAAACAGGGTGAACAACAAGAAAGGAATGCTTTTGTTGCAGTTCATTTGAATAGCTTGTGACTTGAATTCAGAATGGAGAAGTTAACATTTGTCTTTGTAATGTTTTGGAGTCTTTTCATAGTGGCTAGAGATCTCAGCTATAACACTACGCACAGTACTATGGAAGGGAGTCTCCCAGACCTTTATTCTGTCAAAATCAGGAAGCTGGCTATCAGTTCCCTTGCTGTCACCACATGATGACTAATTAAAAAACTTGGGTCACAGTCCTGTGCAGTTGGTGCAGAAACCTGCACTATCAGGCACTGCAGAAAAGAATTAAGTGGCTGCAGAAATGTGCACGTTGCTACAGCTGAACTACTGTGTAAAGCTTGCTAGTTGGAACCCTGTGAATATACATATGCATGTATGTAATGGTTTGCAGTAAACCATTTAATGGTTCTCTCTTGCATATTTCCATTATATTTGCATAATGTACCTACATTACATGCAATTTATGGGAGTGAGTTATCTGTACATACATGTATTCTGTTAGTGCTACATGTAGTAGAGTCTGTGTACTTGTCAAGTATAAGTAACAGGATAAGTTTGGACTGGCGAATTGAATTGTGAGCAAAGTGGAATGTATTGACTATCATTACAGGTCTCTCTCAAGTGATTGCGTTATACTGTAACTTGGGTTGATCCATAGTTTATAAGGTCAAGACCTGCAAGCAGTGTACAGGATTTGAAGATTGTCTGCCAGACTGGTTCTGACAAATCCCAAGTAACATTATATGCTCTGGGGTTTTATATGTGTTGATACCAGTACACATATGTACATGTATGGGGTTAGAAAAGAACCTTTGTCATACGCACGGTGATAACAGCGATCCGCACTGAGCAGGAACAAAAGAGGTCGTGCTTTTATGCTAAGTCTGCTACTGGACACTTAGTATGTGCATGCACAGGTACCCGTCTATTTGCCAGTGAGGATGCTCTCCAACTTGGGGGGGGGATGGGGAAGAAAGGAAGATGTGGGTTTTTGATTTGAATAATACCAAACATGAAATGGACAAGACTTTTCGCTTGTGCTCAGCCCGAGTGTCGTGCACAAAATTCACATCAAGGCAACATTTGTTTCACATGAAGGCCTTGTCCTGCGTGGTACTACAATTCTGTTTTGTTTCTCTGATCTTTGCAGAAGAATACACACTGGAAGATGCCATTGAACAGATCGGCTTTGGTCGCTTCCAGATCAAGATTTCTGTACTTACAGGCCTGTGTTGGGTATGTTCCCCCAAGTTAACCTACATGTATAAGTGATGTTGGTTTGCATTCCTTTACGTTCATAGCGTGTATTTATACTGTAATGTCTTTGCTAGAGAATGGTCGCATGCAAAAGTTGAATGTTAATATTTAACTGTGCACTTGTCATTCACCTGTCAAAGCTGGCATAGCGTACCAGCTGTCTGAGGGCATATCTTGCAACAGCATATCTACTGTATCTCTTGTCCAACAAGACAGTCTACTCATTCAAGGCTTGCATCATGAAAATTTAGTCAACTCCATAGGTGGAGAAAGTTATAAGGCTGACGGTTTTCATTTTGCTGCTGTGCAACCCTTTGGTCAGTAGTGAGTTACAGGAGTTGCCCAAAACCAACTGTGTACCAGGCAGGATCTATGCACCAGTGTTTGAGTCAAGCACACATACATGTACTTTTTTGGCATGGCGAAAATTCTCTGTAACCATGAATACGCACATAGTCCAGAAATAAGGTGTATAAATTCCTATGGTGCTCAGTGGACTATGGATCCCACTGGCTCCATAGGAAAGTGCACACGTAAACGAAGTGTAACATCAGTGCCAAGGTCTGTTTCATTTCCATTATTGAACTGGTTGGGTGTGAAAAAAATTGGAGAATATGGAGCTAAAATCAGAGAGCCAAATGGACTATCCATCTTCGATTGTATTTGTCTTTGTATTCTAGTGGGAAGAAATGGCCAGGGAGCATTTGTAGTCACCCTGAATCAAGTTTCAAAATGTATGATAATTTTCATTAACCCCCCAAAAAACTCAACAGTACTTCTGTCGTTTGATCCAAATGAGTTTTATTGATGTTGGTTTTTCTTTCCTACTCGAGTCCAGATGGCAGACGCGTTTGAGATCATGTTATTGAGCATCCTAGCCCCAGATCTCCTGTGCCGTTGGCATCTCTCACGATGGGAGGAGGCCTTTATCACCACTGTGGTTTTCATCGGTTACCTGATCAGCTCGCCTCTCTGGGGCAAATTCTGCGACAAGTTTGGCCGGAGAAAAGTAGGCTGAGTCGTTGAACTTATAAACATGCAAAATATTCATGAGGCGTCTTAGAAAACTCGTTCGTGTTTTTGTTTTTAAATTTTTGGTGAGACATTCCTGAGAATTTGTAGCTCTAATTTCTTCATGCGGCAGAGGAGACCACAGCCATGCTTGGTTCTTAAGATCCAGCTGATTTCTTCCATGTTCACACTCCGTACACACATGGCATTAGAAGTCGAAACACATTGCACAAAGTCTTGTGCAACCTTAATTTTTCCCCCTCCTGATGTTCTGTTTTTATGCCTGTTTAATGAGCATGATTAATTAACATGAAAAATAGAATTGGCCTAGTCACATGCAGCTCCTGATGCCAAACCAAATATCCCACACGCAGAAAAAAATTAAGGACCCACTTGAAATAACCACTTGCCATGTGGCTGCAGAATTTTAAAGTTTAATATTTTAAAATCAGCAGCATGACACCTTTCAAGTTTCATAAAAGATGAATTCTCTTTAGAGCATCACATTATTGAGGGCTTGGAATTCAAAACAATTTAAAGGATGTCACTCTCATCCCTGCCTTGTTTTTTTCTTCCTGTTTTCCTTTCCAGGGCCTGATATTTTGTTCCGTCACTATCCTGTATTATGGTTTGCTCAGTGCAGCAACACCCAACTACATCTGGCTACTCATCATGCGAGGCCTGGTGGGTTTTGGAATTGGAGGAGCCTCACAGTCGTAAGCATCCTCGAGTAATAAAGTGTAATGAATTGAAAAAAATGCCTCTCACGGAAACTCAGTCCCTTTTAATAAACTGCTTTCCCCTTGGTCAGGGATATGTAATTCCTGTAGTGTTTGGATCATAGGCTCTTGTGGAATGCACTGGATAAAGTACCAGTAGGCGCTATTGTACACTTGCGAACAAAATTCTTGCAAAACTTGTCAGATCCCACTTATCCATGCTCACATTTTGTCGTGCTTATCCATACAAAACACGTGGTTGATAATAAATGAAAACTGTCTGTAGGGATTGTCATTACTAGTCCCATGTAATTTCACTGAGCCCTCATTCAAAAGAGGTTCCAAATCTAGATCTTCTTGTACACCTGCACTGAGGATTGACATTTTGTGAATTTGAAATTAGTATTTTAAATTATCCCGCTTCAGCATTAGTTTTTACCTCTTTTGTGTATATTTCACTTGCAGCGTGACTTTGTATTCAGAGTTTCTTCCTGGCAAGATCAGAGGTTTTTGTATCGTCTTCCTTGAGGTAGGCTTGATGAAATTCAGAATTGTGGCTTGTGTATGGGAGCCTCCTCCGGCGATCCCCCCGCACTCCCAGCCCAAACTTTCCTAAATAATGAGAGAGAAGCATTTGTTATCCTTTTTCATTTCCATTCCTTGGAAAATCAAGTAAAAAGTCCCAAAATGTAGCATCGCTCCTCTGAAAGGCCAGGAAAAAGGAATTCTCTCCTTCCCCCAGAAAAAAACCCCAAAAAACAAGGCCCCGCCAGAAAGTTTGGTTCTGGATCTGCCCATGATGTACATGTATATAGACACAAGGTAGGCAGAAACCTGCGGTGACCTAGCATTTCATCCATGAGGAACAGAAATATTCTTTGTTATTTGGCGTCAGAGAAACTGGAGATCAGCGCCACAAGACTTAATTTTACTAGAGATTAGATAAGAACTGTATCATCTGGGCATCTGTCGCATGCCTCAAGGTCGTATATTCCAACACACATTTGTCATGTGCATTCAGCATGTCATGTGCTAAAGGAGTGTGGACCTTTATGTGCATGTGTTGAGTTTCCACCAAAAGCCCACTATATAAAAGCATGCTGTCTCATTTTCTTGCAACCAAGGGATTGACAGCCGCGACTGGTCACAGTGCACAGAGTACCACATAATGTATCCAAGTGGTCGTAAGGAAAAGTCCCAAAATTTATGTCCACAACTTGTTTTTTTTTAACAAAGAATTAAGTGTCATAGAGTTTGATGGAAGGTACAAGTGGTTGAATGAAATGAAAGGACATCGGGGCTAGGCTTGACCTCTTGTCACTAATTTTCCTTGCAGATTTTCTGGGTGTTAGGTGTTGTTTTTGAGGTACTGCTAGGATTGATTGTCATGCCAACGTTGGGATGGCGCTATCTCCTTCTGTTCTCTGCATTCCCATTGGCTGTATTTGTGATTTCATGTAAGGTGAGTTGGCTGCCAATCTGGAAAGTTAAATACCACCTTCAAAAACAGTTTTTGAGAACTGGTGGAAAATTTCTTGTCTTGGCACCCCTTTTACATCTTTACATGTAATTTTTTATTTTCACCGTTTTTGCCACATTAACCTTAACCATTAACTATGGATTATGATAAACATAATTAAATGTTGGGATGTGCATATAGAAGAAAAGTGTAGTTGATGATAAACTCTTCACAAAAAGCCATTTTTCTAAAAAAAAAAACCCCTTCTGTTTTGATTCTGATGTTATGTAAGTCATTTGCAACTTTTTCCTGCAGTTTTTTCCTGAAAGTGCATATTACTATCTTGCTTGTGGTGAACGGGAGAAGGCAACTGACATCCTGAAGAAAGTGGCCAACGGAAATGGCAAACCCATGCCTCAAGGCCGGCTAAAAATGGATGAAACAACGGTGAGAGGCCAATGTGGACAGACAGACTGACGGATAGACGGTTATTTCCAGATAAAACCAGACAAAAACCAGTGGACACTTGGGCAAAATTTGATCAAAGACAGTAAACTGATTGGAGCAGAACTAGACAACAACTGGGAGAGGACCCAATTATTGACCAACCACATTAAAATCCACTCAATACAGCTTGTGAAACATTGTCCAATTACACGATATACAAAATGGATGCGGGATTCACAAAATCTGAAACAAAACTCATCATATAAAATTCCACAGGGTTTTGTAAATGGCATGGCTAACTCACAAATGGCAGCAGGTCAGATGGGCTGGATAGCTCAGTTGTTTGAAAGCCAGTACTGAATTTCTCCCGTTGCAAAACATTGAACATCTAATAAGTAAATAACTGTCTAAAGTGCTACTGTGTGATTGTGTCTTGTGTAGAGTTATTACCATTTGGCAGTGCGATCTGACAACTGCATTTTTAAATGCTCGGATGCAGGACGGTTGTTTGCAAAAAACCCTGGGACCTATTAACACAAACTCCATCCATGATGTAATTCACTGCCACATGACCAGAACCCTCAAAACTGTTACATTATGGTATAGCCCAACCCCTTTTTTTAAAAACTACATTGAAACTTTTATTACCCGAGAATACTCAATTTGAGGTATATAAAGATACGTAGGTAAAACACAGTGAACGTAATATGTTGTAGAGACCATCTAACAGACAATTCAAAATAATCATGGCAAATGTGAAGTCAGAATTATGAACTCAACTTGAAACGCCTTTTATTTCCATGCAGAGTCAGCGAGGGCGCTTTGCTGACCTCTTTGCGACAAGGCAAACAGGAATCACAACACTCTTACTCACTTTCATATGGTAAGTTCTAGTACTCGGCTCCGTCTCCGGCTTAGCCTGACTCTTAACCACCCGCCTTTTGAAGCTTTTAGCTTATACTGCCAAGAAAGCATTAAGCTATGTTCCAGTAGTGTAATGTTAATATTGTTTCAAAGTGTCACTGTTTTCATTTGAGCAATGCTAGCCAAAATGCAGGCAGTGATTTCAGAGACAAACTCTGGTACTGGAAAATCCTTGTCCACTGATTTGCAGTTCCTAAGAAGAGGTCTAGGTCTTCCTGCCCATTGTGTATCTGTGACAACCAAAATGTTCAACGATAATTGAAAACGCATTACTTAGTACATTAAAGACTCACCCTTTAATCCCAGTATAAAAATGGACCCAGTTTTGTGTACACAGCTTTGGCTTTAACACCACTTTGAACTGTTCCCAAATTAATTCATTTCATTTGTCTACCCAACTAGGTTTGTGAACGCCTTTGCCTATTATGGTATCGTCTTACTGTCCACAGAACTGTTGTCAGATAATGGCAGATGCGAGGGTGAGATATCCACTGTGTGATTCTTGTCTATCATTTTATAACAGTTTATGTTGTACATACACATATTATCTAACATAGGAAACAATTAGGGTCCATTTACACAGAAACTGATGAAGGATATGCTGCTTGGTTAAAAAAAATTGAACACGGCAGTGCCCTGTGTGACTCTACACAGGAAGCGGACAGGCTTTGTGATAAAGCGATGAACTGTTGTATTTAGAAACTGGAGCAATGGCAAAGCAGATTTAAGATCTGGCCAGTCTGTTGCCTTGTCAAGTATGACACCATTGACTGACTGGCTGACTGGCATGGTTGACCTTTTACTCTTGTACCTTTGAGTTTTCCTGTCATCATCGAGAGTCAGTGAAAAACATACCGGGCACTTTCCAATTGGTGTGTGAATTTAAAACATTATACAACATACGATTTTCCGTTACCGCATTCACTTATCACTCATCTGTGGAAATGGACCTTTAGATTTGCATTCTAATCAATAATAAACATACAGCGGGTACAGTTTGCCAGTTAAAGCACCTTGCTACAGCCTCCTTAGTGAGTAAAATACTTTAATACATTAACATATATGCGCGTACATGTCAGCTGCGACCACAAGCCTTGCTGATCCCTTCAAGATCACCTGACATACCTGAAGGTTTTGGAGGAGTTTCCAGGTCTTCATGCTTGCCTGGGTGGGATTTGAACTGTGATGGCAGAGGCAGAAGTGGTGGACAGAACATGTGCGGCTGCATTTGAAATTTGTCGTAAACAAGTAGTGCTTGAATCTACTAGTGTACAAAATACACTCACATTTTATCCTACATTCTTCTTAACAGAAAACGCTGATGTCGTTGAAGCAACAGAGACATGTTTTGACGACTGTGTAACACTCAAAACAAGTGACTATGGATCGCTGTTGATAACTACATTTGCTGAGTTCCCAGGTACACATTTACTTGTAAAAGCTTGGTCAACATTTGCAATCTTGGCAATTTATACAGATCTACTATAATGTAAGATAATCTGCCTTACTTGAAACAGCGGGTTTCTAAATATCTTTCTGCAGACCTATTTTAGGTTTTTTTCTCATTACACTATTGTAAAACTTGTTATTCCCCTTCTAATGAACCAGTAACCTTTGACCCTAAAAGAGCAGGGTTAATGGTTCATTGGCAATACCCAGGAAAAAGAGCCAATTTTTATCCATCGCAGTACACATTAACCCTCCTCACACCTTTTAAAGATGTGTTGGCCTGTGCCATTTAGGGTTAAAGTGAGTGAAATGCTCAGTTTAAGGTCAACAAGGTGAAGTAGAAATTCAAGGTAAAAATACAAGGCGAAAATGTAAAACTTACAATTAAAACAAAGTCCGGAGTAAATATGGTTTTGAAATAGTACATGTAAAGCTGTCAAGTGTAGTTATTTTCCTACTTGTCTAAGTCACAAATTTAGTCTTACTACTTACAACTTGTACATATATCTGATATCCTCTGTAAACAGGAACTTCTTTTTCTGATTTTATTTGCAGGGATTCTAATTACCCTGCTCGCGATTGAATTCTTGGGTCGTAAGAAGACCATGGCGGTCCAATTCCTGGTTTGCTCCGTGTTCATATTTCTTCTGAGTATCTGCACATCCAGGTAGGGAACCTTTTCAGCTTGCCAAGAGGAAGTGAATCCACCAAGCTGGTACAGTGGTTGTCCCGTTGACATTATAGGAAACCTGCCTGAGACACTTGATTAATGAGTTAACCAGCACTTGATGTGTTCCGTACATGAACCTCACATTTGCAAAGAATGACATGATCAAACTATGGCTCATGGCTGCTTGTTGTATAATGTCATAGAAATGTGTGTAGTCACAGCAAGTATGAGCAGCATTTAAAGGTTCAGCTGTGGCTGGCAATATAACACATCC